CCCCTAGAGGACGAAATGTCTCGTTCCCTACTCAGGGAACCATGGTTACATAAGTAACCTGAGACGTTTTCCTACATCTGAATTTACTTTGCAAACACGGCTAATGCATTTTTGTAAAACAATCGAAAGCACATTATTCTGACATATTGAAGTCCTTGTGTGGATAAACACTCACACTGTATCTGCTCATGGACCACCAGGGCAAAATGATCTGTTTCCAAGATCCGAGACAGCTTTCCCAGATTGTCAGTCAGACGAATCTAAAACAGGCAAAAATGGATAAAGTAATGTCAGATGGAGTGAGTGAGCTCAAACTATCCTTTCTAAAAGAATTGCACTCACCCGCTTGAACTGTTTATAGAGCACTTTGATGACAGGGTCAGAGGGCTTGACCTTTCCTGCAAGTACAGAGGCAAGCATGTTTCCCAGGGTCACCATTCCCAGAATCAACCTGCAGAGAGCAAGCCAAACACAACTGCATTCCACTCCTCACTTTTAATCATCTTCAATTACAATGACAATATAGCTTTAATACAATAAGTACTGATGACAATTACAGTAAGGTTGTCACCATTTTAATGTTGATTAAAATGTTATTTGTGGCATGTATTGCTCACCCAGCTTCATCTACGACAGGTGCCTGGTCAAAGCCCTTTTCTTTCAAGATTTTGATGGTTTTTTGGCATGTGACTGTGGGCAGCACAGTTAGTGGAGCAGAAAGGTTTAGACTCTGTAATTTCAGATTCCACCACCTGGAAGAAATTGAATGAAGGGAGAATTAAAAAAAGAATAAACACAGGACCGAAAACGAGATGATGACTAGGTTCTAAATACCTAGACATTGTATTACTGTTTATAAATGGAGTATATATTTAATATAAGGAAAATGGGGCTAGCTTTCACACTGAGAATGTCATATTCACAGTATGCGTGAAAAGTTCAAATAGGAAAATGTACAAATACATTTTCCTATTTGAACTTTTATACAGAGTGTTTTCTATAGAGTTGTTTCAAACACCTAGTTTAAAAACCTTTTAACTGAAATTATTTTTTAGAATAGATCATTTTTTTCTCCAAACTAAAACCTTATAATAAAAATATAGGCCTATATTATAATAATACATAAATTAAAATAAAACCTCAGAAATGTGTCAACTATATAATGAAAATTTGTTCATAGGACAAGAGTATTTTTCATATTTGCGGGTCATGATTTAAATTGTATTTAAAATGTTAAACATTAATTCATTTTAACATTTGCCACCCAAAATAATGGTTTGACGTTTTTGTAGAATACATCTTAAATGTGCTGTTACGTGAATTGTTTTGCAGTTTTAATTGTTTTACTGTTTAAATTTTGCTGCATAGCTTATAAAATGACAGGTTGCACTGTGACAACTTACCCCATACACTCTTAAAAATTTCAAAAGGGTTTTTCACAGTGTTGCCATAAAAATAAAATAATATATGGATGGACTAGTGTATGGATGTTAAAGGTTATTCATAGAACCAATAATGCCAATATCAAACCTTTATTTTTAAGAGTGTACAGTGTGACAACATGTCCTGTTATTATGCTGTCTTATGTCATCTTTAGTTATATACCTACATAGAAATTTACTTCTAAAAATAAATGTACCCTAATAAATGCCAAATAAATAAATTACCAATAAAATGCGACAAATAGCCCCAGTCTCACATATACACACTAAATCTTAAGTGACAAAATGATAATCTGCTCACCAGGGTTTATTCACCATGATATCTTCCACCCTCAGAAAGCCCTTCTGGAACATCCACTTATCACTCAAGAACTTGGACCTGTAGAGTACATTTTAAATACAAAATGATGATTAACATCCATTGCTTCAGACTGAGCCAAGCTTTTGTGAAGCTAGTTGTCTTTGTGGAAAAAAGCCAGTCAAGGGTGAGAATATATTTTATATTTATAAATTTGGCAGATGCTTTCAACTAAAGCAGCTTACAGTGCATTTAAGGAATAAATGTAATTATTTTGTGTTCCCTGGAAAAACTGAAGCTGAATAAGCTTGCAGCCAATTCTTGTGCATCTCTCTGATTTTCCTTACATGTAGTTGCGAATAGAGTCTGGCAGAATCACGACACAGCGCTGTCCCTCCTTCAGCTCTTTAGCAAACTTTACTGCAGCCGCCATGGCAGTGCCCGAGCTCCCACCTGACAACAGAGAACATAAACAATGCGGTATATACAAACAAATCTACTACAATCATGACATTACTTTTCATAGACATTAAGCCCCAATTTAAGATGCTGTAAATGTGTGACATTAGGGTGCATGTTAAGAAAGGATAATGTGCTTACCACACAACAGCCCTTCATCTCTTATAAGCATTCGGGCAATGGCAAAAGATTCCTCATCGTTGGATTTGTACCAGCTGTCAACCAACTGAAATAAAAACACAATGTGTGTGATTTGTACATGAACTGCCTGCTGTCTCTCAACAGTAGAACACTGTAAGCCAAAACTTTACTTCTACTGTCATCTTCTGGTAAAGAACAGAATAGCAAAACCAGTGAGTAGACTATTGCAACAAACACGTGGGTATCAAAAAGCAGGACTCTTCCTTTCAGGGGTCAAATTATTCAGATGAATATGAGAGTCGAGTATATTTGACCTTAGCACTTTTACTGCAAACAACGTCAACAGAAAAAACCAAACCAACCAAACCCAAACACCCTCAATAGTATACATTTATTTTAGAACAGAAAAATATACTTATAACCTTTTTTAGCCTACATTATCACATTTGATACACACATTTCTAAATCCTCGAAATGATCAAACTTTACTGAAAAACCTATTGCGCACAATCTACTACATACTTTCAGTCGTCTGATTGCTAGATTATACTTTGTTAGCAAGTAAAAGGCCTTTTTAGTCAAATTGTACAAACGTACATGTGAGAATAACTTTGATATTGTTAATAAAATTTCAGGATGAACACTTACTGGACTGAAGCAACTTAGGTTTCCTTGATTATCCATATATAATTTTTAGAAAAGTAATGTTCAAATGCTGAAGAGCCCTATCATATACAATCCATAAAGGACATTAGACTTATATTCAAACCTACACTTATGTAGAGTCACTCACAGATCTATCCAGGACGGTGGGTATAAAGTCATATCCGATGCCCTCCACCTCATACTGGGTTTTATCAGTCCGGTTCAGCTCATCAGGCTCAGCGAGGATCGAGCCCTCTGGGTCCACCGCAACAATCTACCAAAACACAGACACACTTCAGATGAGTCTAGACTTACAGTGCCTTGCGAAAGTATTCATACCCCATTCATTTTTTCACGACATTCACACTCAAGGACATTCACAGAGTTGTCTGTAAGCCACTCTTGCTGTGTGCTTAGGTTCATGGTCCTGTTGAAAGGTGAACCTTCTGCCCAGTCTGAGGTTCTGAATGCTCTGGACTGGGCTATCTCAATATTTTGGTGCATTGAGCTTTTCTTCTACTCTGACGAGTCCCTCAGTCCCTGCCGCTGAAAAACATCCCCTCAGCATGAGGCTGCTACCAGCACACTTTACTTTTGGGATGGTACTCAGCAGGTGATGAGCATTGCCTGGTTTCATTCAAACATGATGCTTGGAATTGAAGTTCATCAGACCAGATAATATAGTTTCTCACAGTCTGAGGAACCTTTAGGTGCTTTTTTCAAATTCCAAGTGTGTTTTCATGTGTCTTCACTGAGGAGAAGATTGAGTCTGGCCACTCCGACATAAAGCCCAGATCGGTGGAGTGTTGCAGTGATATTTGTCCTTCTGTAGATTTCTCCCATCTGCATATATGATCATGGCGCTCAACTAGAGTGACCATCATGGTCTGTTGGGAGGCCAGCTCTAGGAAGAGTCCTGGTTGTTTCAAACTTCTTCCATTAAGGGTAACAGAGACTACATGCTTCTATGAACCTTCAATGAAGCAGAATTTTTTTCTGAACTCTTCCCCAGATGTGTGGCTTGA